GCAGCCAGTGGCCAGTGGATGCCGCCCAATGAAATGGGGGTGCGAACGCATAGCCTGGAGCTGGCCCTACGAGAAGTGCCTGGACTCACACTCAAACTCGAGCACGTCAAGGCACATGAAGGGGATCCCTGGAATGAGTGCGCGGATGGGGTAGCCAAATTGCTTTCCAAAGGAGAGCTGGAGCTTGCAGAACCACCGCAAGCTACGGGCAAGGAATTCCTGCAGGGCAACTTACAGTGGATGGCCACGGAAATTGCGGCGGTGCAAACGGGTGCCCTGCCTGTAGTCAACGGACGACTTATATGGTCAGACGCCCCCTTCGAGGACTACAAGCTTCCACCTCACGAGCTCATCCCGGTCACAACTCAGGAGCAGGGCGAGTTTGGGGAGGCGAAGCCATTCCAGATGAAGGCCGCCACCATTAACATCCAGGGAATGGGGGGCAACTACCAGTATGCAGATGCCCAATTCCGGGCCCTTGACCTCAACCTGGTGTGCATACAAGAAGTCAAGGGTAGAGAGGGCCTCTCCATGAGTAAAAACTATCTCCGACTGTCCACGGAGTCGCAACGATTCTGGGGAACTTCCCTGTGGATGCACCGAACCCTGGGAATCATGAAGGTGGGAGGAGCCCCACTCATCATCGGTGAAGAGGACCTCTCCATCCTTCACCAATGCCCGCGCATATTAGCTGTTCTGGCCAAGAAGAATGGGCACAGACTGGTCCTAATATCGGCGCATTGCCCACACTCAGGACGAGAAGTAGAGCAGAAGCTCTTCATGGAAAAGATGCGGCAGATCCTCATGAGTGCCAAGAACTCTGACCTCGTGGTGATGGGAATCGACCTGAACGGAAGGCTACCTACGCCCTTCCCACCGGCGACTGGACACTTGGAGTATGATGAGCCTGATTCATGTGGTCGGTTGATGGCAAACATCATGGTCGATGCGGGCCTGTGGGCCCCCTCTACCTTTCAGGGGCTCCACATGGGCGACTCGGCCACCTACACACACCCGTGTGGAACGGAGAGTCGCATCGACTTCATCATACAAGGAGGCCGAGGAAGGGTTTTCCGTACCAGAACCAAGGTCAATAAGGACTTTGACACGGGCAGCCCCAACGACGACCACCGTATGCTGGAGATTGAGATGGAAGGGGACCTCATGAGTAAAGGTGGGGGTAAGACGCTGTGGAGGCAGAAGTTCGACACGGACAAAATGCACACCGAAGAGGGCAAGACCATCCTGCATAAAGCCCTCAGTGAATTCCCCCAGCCACAGTGGGAGACTCATCCAGATCGACATTGTCTCCTCCTACAGAAGTACCTACATGAGGTACTCAAGAAGAACTTCCCCCTCCACAGGGACAACAAGGCCTCCTACATCCCTGGGGAAGTCTGGGCGCTCAGAGAACGGAAAATTGCCCTCAAACAGCGCACGAGATGTTACCTCAGGAAATGGGGAGACCTTAAGAAGCAGACCTGGAAGAGGCTACGGGGAGAGATGACCATTGACATTGCGGCCAAGGTCGTAAAGCAGAGCCTCCTACATGCCATCTTTGCGGCTGCGATCAAATTTGTCACGCACCGCATCAAGAAAATCATCATCGAGGCCAAAACGATGATGTTGAACCAGGTGGTGACAAGAGGAGTGCAGAATGTGGGGGCAATTCTGCAAAGGGCCAAAGCGGCAGGGATAGGTGGTCGCAAAACGCGACCGGTGCAACGGCCCTTGCCGCAACTTTTGGACCCCAGCAATGGGAGACCGGTTCAAGACCGCAAGGACCTCGATCGAACCTGGCTCGAATACTTTGGCCAGCAGGAGCAAGGAGTTCTATACACTGTGGAGGAGTTCCTGCAGCGGAGGCCAGAGTATGGCGGTATCATGGAAGAGCCATGGAGCCACGACTTACTGCCCTCATTGCAGGACATCGAGCAGACGCTCAGGGAAATCCCACGTGGAAAAACTGGTGGAGTGGACAACTTCCCCAGCGACTTGATGAACGCGATGCCCGTCCAGATGGCAAAGACGCTACAGCCCCTTTACCTCAAGAGCCTCCTCAGCTACCAACAGCCAGTTCAATGGAGGGGGGGTGTGCTTTATGAAGCATTCAAGGGCAGCGGCACGCAAAGCAGAGTTGAGAACTTCCGCAGCCTCTTCATCTCCAGCTTTGCGGGAAAGGCGCTGCACAAAGTGCTGCGAAGAAAGGTGCAATCCAGCATCGAAGAAACGCTGCACCCACTACACTTTGGACCCCGACGTCACGCCCCTGTGCTCTTTCCAGCACTGTATGTGACCACCCACATCAAACACTGCCAGGCGACCAAGTCCAACATGTCTTTGCTATTCATCGATTGCAGAGCTGCCTATTATAGGCTTGTGAGAGAGATCGCCACAGGTGTCTTGACCAACGACGCGGCCATCTACCAGCTCTTTGCAAAGTTTGGTTTGGACAGTGCTGACATGGAGGACCTGATGCAGCTCATTGAGTCAGGGGGCATGCTCCGAGAAGCTGACGTCCCTGGACCTATACAGAGAGCGGTGTGTGACTTTCACATGGCCACGTGGTTTATCACACGGCACTCGCAGGGTGACAGCCTGGTTGAGGCGAAAGCTGGGAGTAGACCGGGGGAAGCGTGGGCGGACACGCTCTATGCGTTTATCTACGCGAGAGTCCTCTACAGGGTCCATGAGAACCTGGCGGCGGAGGACATCCTCTTTGAGGTCCCGTGGGATCAAGAAGGCGGGGTATGGGCCCAAGCATGCCAGGGGCTCCCTCGTGGAAACCTGGGACGGGACATGGGCGGACGACTCTGCAGTCCCACTACGAGCTGACACGGCGCCCTCCCTGGTGAAGAAAACAAAAAGGATGTGCTCAATCTTCATCAGCACGCTCCGGTCACATGGCTTGGACCCAAACCTCAAAAGGAACAAGACGAGCTTGCTTCTTGGACTGAAGGGTGGCCATTCCAAGAAGATCCGGCAGGAATTGTTTGAGGACGGCAAACCAAAGCTACGCCTGGAGGACATTGGGGAGTCAATCCACGTGGTTGATAGCTACAAGCACCTTGGTGGGATGGTGGATGCCAAGGCCTCCTTTGCGATGGAGGTAAGGCTTCGACTGTCCCTGGCTTCGGGAGCTTTCGAGTCGGCCAAGAAGCTTCTGCTGCAAAACCAAAGACTGCCATTGACAACACGTGGCAAGATCTTTGAATCCACTGTAGCCTCCACACTCCACAACCTCGCCCTCTGGGTTCCAGAAGGAGTACAGTGGAGGAAGCTGGCCGATGGATACGCCAGGCAAGTACGGCGACTTTTTGGCCGGGACATCAAGGGGGAGAGCGTCTTCCATCTCCCCACACCCCTGGCCTTTGTGCTGTCGGGCTGCAGACCTCTCGAAATTCTGGCTTTCAGAGCTCGTCTGAGTCTCCTAGTGTCGCTGGTCAAGGAAGACCTACGGAACTTGATTGAGGGCGAAGAGGAGCACTGGACTAGCGCAGCGGCTTGGCCACAGTGGTGGCACACAATCCGCAATGCGCCTAGACGATTCAAGACGCGCATTGGCCGACGAATGGAAAAGGACTTTCTGGCCTACAAGGAAAGGGAAGCGGCCAACATCTGTCTGTGGGCCATGCAGAGGGACATGATGACGGAGGAGGCGAGGACCGACTCCCAGACCGAGTGGGTTTGCCGTATGTGTCGGCGGCCCTTTCAAAAACGAGCCGGACTTAGTGTCCACTTCTTCACCATCCACAAGCGCACTGCTGAATACCGACGGTTCGTCAACGGCACCCAGTGTGGAGCGTGTGGAGTCCAGTTTTGGTCTACGGCTCGTCTTGAAGACCACCTGAGGGCCTCGCAACGATGTGTGGCAGTGCTGCAGGCTAGCGGACCAAGGAATACGGAGATGGCCCCGGGCTATGGTAGCAAGCGACGCAGAAAAGAGGCGAAGGACAACTACACCCCCGCTCCACCACGGCGGCAGGAAGCTGGCGATCTACAAACCTCCAGAGCGGACCGTGTAAGAAATGAATGGGAGGAGGACCTTCACAAGGAGCTCTCGGACACGATCATGGACATCGACGAGACGATGGAAGCGAAGTTTGTCCAGGCTGGCGTCCAGAAGGCCATCGAGAAGTTCCCCCTCTACCCGGAGGAGATCCAGCACGTGATCGACCAGATTCTCGAGGAGATGGAAACGATCCAGGATGACCCTGAGGTGCGACAGTGGGCACCTGCACAAGCAGGAGCAATACGTGAAGCCCTTCAGCAGCAGAGGCTGCCGATGGTATGTGCGGAACAACGGGCCAAACCGCGCAACCTGGAAACCTACAGGGAGTTCACGGAGCAAGTTACGACTTTCCCGTGGCAGCGAGCCATGGAGGGAAGCACAAGCGGACACGGGACCCCGGATGAAGTGTGGATCGTTCTGGAAGACGAATGGGAAGCTGCTTGGCGTCTTCACAGACACACGGTACCCGTAGCAGCCGTGGCCGACAACTTGCTGAGGCTCTTGCCACCGGCGCTTATGAAGGCTTGGGGAAGCCTTAAAGGCGGCACCAATGTATCACTCCGAGCCCCTGTTTCTTTCTGGGGGCATAGCCTCTCGGAGCCCTTTAGAGGATGTAGAGAGGGCGTTGCACGTTCCAAGTAGGCTGCGCAATCCACTGACAGCTCGCAAATCGCAAAATGTATGTATGTATGCATGCATGCATGCATGCATGGATGGATGGATGGATGGATGGATGGATGGATGGATGGATGTTTGCATGTAGTGTATATGCATGAATATCAGTCTGTCATTATTCGCCGGTCAAGTGCTGTGGTGTATGCATATGTATGTATTCGAATCGATGTACCTGAACGGCACACACATGCTATGCTTTCTTGTAGAATTATGCCGAAGCCTTCGAGTCTGCCAAACCTTTGCTGCGAAATCGTACTTCGATTCGTCTCAAGAGCCTAGCAAGCAGCAGAGAGCCCATGCAACACCAGCCAAGGTATGGCGCTTCTGTTTTCGTTGCAGCAGCTGTAAACGAGTTCGATGACTCACGGCGCCCGATGGCCGTTGCCTTGTTCTCAGTCGTTGCTTCTGCCGCTTGTCAGTGGACTCTTGCTTTCATCATCCTGCAGCTCCGCATCACATGCCCTGCAGCACTCGATGCCGAATCTTCTCCAACCAAGTCATCCTTAATCGCCTTAGCCAAAGTGCGGGGATTGAGGCCTTGCTGGCGGCCCCCATTGTTCTCACGGCCATGCACTCGGTTAGTGCACCTTTGCTATTGAGATCGGTTGGTATGTCTCTGTGCATGTGGCGCAAAGCGAAACAGCCACCCCTGGCATGTAGTTTTCGGTTGCCTCGCTTACAGCAACCTGGCGCCAGCAAAGTGGCGATCACTCAGAGACCAAGATCGCCGTGCGCGCCTCTCTGTCATTGAGTGCATGTCGGGTTCGGTTTGAGAGACGCCAACATGGGGGTTTCCGAAAATAGGGGACCCTAATATCGTACCCCAAATAGTAGGATCCTTATTAGAAGGACCCCAAAATAAGGTACCCCTTTTTTCGTAAGCGCCAACATCGAGGCCTTGGCCCACCTCGCATGCAAGTCGAGCAGTGACAGCTCCAGCTGCCGGGGCCCTGGGTTAGGATTACAGACCGAAAAGACTACTACTACTACTACTACTACTACTACTACTACTAGTATGCAAGATGGGACGAGCTAGTAGGCCAGTGAAATATTTCGCTTCCAGCACCGTCGTCAGGCAGTGTTCTAGCAATGTCATAGTTCAATACCTCAAAATCTAAATCTCTTTGGTACCGTGTAACTGGCACATTTGCGAGATTGCTATGTGCAGCTTGCAGTGCTGTAGTGCTTCAGCCCTGTAGCACTATAGCTTGTCACCGGCATGGGGTTAGCGAGTTGTAGTGTTTCTGCACGTAGATGGTGCAGTTGTCAAAGCCAGCAAGCATTGTGTTATCAAGGCACAGTCTTGGGCTTGCGGCATAGATTTCCGCACATCCGTGAGGGGCGCGAACTGCGGCCTTGAAGTCCGAGGAGCCTTTAAATGCGGCATGCATTTCAAAGCACGCTGTCGCGGAGGCCCGGAGTGGGCCGTTCCTGGTGAAGGTCCGACGCCCAGCACGCCTTGGGTGCTCGGGGGGTCGTCTGGATGGTTGACTCATGGAAAGGTGAATTTTCGAAGGCTCGACATTCCCAGGCACTAACTGAAGAGGTGAGCAGATACGGAAAGCGCCCGTGCTAGAAAGTGAAAGGTCGAAATCTTGTTTTGTTTTGGTTCTTGTGTTTGTCATCCTTCCATGTGTGCCGTTCATGAGCACCTAGCGCTGCCATGATCTTTTTCACGAGGATGGAAGTGGCCCGCTGCCGGTTGCCTGGTCTGGGCTGCTGTCACCGCTTTCACCGCCTGGGTGCAGTTGGACATGCTGGAGCAGGAGATGCCTCCGGGGAGGGGGGGGCACCGCTTGAAGATGCTCCGAAGCTAATTTTGCGTAGACGAGCAAGATCTTCGAACAGCTGACGGGATAGAAGTAGAGGGCGCAAGGCACGAAGGGGACGGTGTGAGGAGACGAGGCCTTCCTTCCTGGGTCGGGAGTGACTCCTCAACCCCACCGCTCCACCACGCTGCCCGAAGTATCCTCCGGCCTCTGAGCAAGGAGTCGGAAGAGGAGGACGTCTGGCCGGAATCTGAGCCGTTTCAGCCTAGCTCCATTTCTTGTCCTTCAGTGTTCTGCAGTTCGTTCGCGGCTCAGCTCGCATGCATGAAACAGTTGCCGCCAGACGTGGCCTCGAGTGCGTAGGCAGAGGTTTGGGGCGAGCGGCCCGCATGGCGACCGGCTTGGAGACGGCGGAGGCTCAGGAGCCGGAACAGGCGCCCGAACAGGCACCGGAGGCGCAGGAGGGACCACCAGCGCCCCTGAAACACGAGCTTCAACATCGATGGTGTTTGTGGCTGCATCAGCAGGGGGAGAAGGCCCACCAGTCGGGTCAGGCATGGAACGAAAGCCAGCGGTCGGTTCACTCCTTCAAGACGGCGGAGGACTTCTGGTGCATGTACCACCATGCCTACCCGCCTTCGAAAATGGAGCATGTCGATTACTCGCTTTTCAAGGAGGGCATCACTCCAGCATGGGAGGATGCCGCTCTGAAGAATGGCGGGCGTTGGGTCATGAAGCTCGAGAAGGTGAGGGCGCAAACGTTGGATGATTTGTGGTTGTCCGTCGAGTTGGCCCTCATCGGCGAGGCCTTCCTGCCCAAAGGCGGCGAGGTCATCGCAGGTGCCGTGGTCTCCATACGGAGCCGCATCAGCAAGATCGCTCTGTGGCTAACACAAGCCAAGGACGAGAAGAAGGTTGGGGTCTGGGGTTTACAGATGTCTGCAGTATCTCTTCTTACCTTGATTATAGCGCAGTCTTTATGGTGTAGTGTAGGGTATGTGGGACTTCTAACATGGACCATGGCTTAATTGAGCCTGGAGGTGATGGCCTTGGGTCGCTTCTACAGAGAAGTCTTGGCCGGGACACCCGGTTGTCAGGACTACATCAACAGGGAGCTGACCTTCGAGGACTTCAAGAAGGGAGGAGTGACCTTCCTCATCAACAAATCGAACTCCCAAAGTGATCAGCAGACTGCTGGCATCTTTCAGTGAGCCTAAGGCTAAGGCCTATCAATGCCCGAAAAGCATCCTACGACCGTCGGATGCAGGACAGCACCTCCGAAGATGCCCGAGAGGTCGCTTGAAAAAGATGCCAAGCTGAAGGGGGTCAGCGAAGATAGGCATGTGAGGGATAAAATAGCGCTGAAAGACGTGTGAACTGATTCAACGGGCTTTGCAGTCCTCAACGGTTTCAGCCTCGAACTCCAACTTCCGACCACACAAATACTGACGCATCCTAAGAACAAAAGCACGTGATGAACCATCTCACTTGTCGGATCTCGCCCGCGGGAGCTCGAGCATTCAGTTCCCTTGCTTGCCCCCCAAGGCTACCCAAGAACACATAAGCTCTGGGGTCCTTCTGTTGTGGCAGGAAAGCCGTGGAATGCTAGAAAACCCAAGAGTTACCTAGTAAAAAATGTGTTTAGAGATAGATACAACAAGGATATATATATATATATATGTATGTATGTATAGTGTATAATATGCACACGCATGTGCCTAGACAAACACGGAATATCAGTCATGCCTAAGTATTGGGATGTGGACAGCTGGAATGTTGAGACTTTTGGCTTCATTTTCAGCATCCGTGGTGCAGCAGATGGCTGTCTCCAGCTGAGCCACAACGCGTAGAAAGGTCGAAAAATAGGAATGTGTCTGCAGCACCAGGGCTTAGTTTAAGCACACTCCACAGCCACTTCGAATACCAAGGCATGAATATCCGTGGCCTCTGGGTGGCCGCAAGAGGAGCCGGTTGTTCCAGGCTAGAGGCACCGATTTAGGAAAGTAGCTCGGGGCAAGTGAGAACCCGCAGTCGACCATAGACTAGAGTTGACCAGCGTTTATTACCAGAACTTTGGCATTAGGGTTTAGGATTTAGGGTTTAGGGACCATACAGTTGTTTGTTTGCCGAGACTTGCACAGAGCTTCTAGGAGAAGCTGGCGGATGGAGGAAGGCACGTCCGATCCTGCTTTGTGATCTTGAGTAGTGAAGACTTGAATTCAGGAGGGCTCGCATGTCCGTGTCAGTGGGATAGCTGTGCGGAAAGCTTGTTCTTTCCGTGAGGTGATGATTGGCATCACTGATTCTCTGAGCTGAAAGCGCCTCTCTGCATGGCAAGGGTGCAGTTTTCGCTTCGGACTCAGACATCCGAGGTTCATGAGGCTGCTAGCAGCTAGCATTAAAGCCTCACGCTGCGCATTGGTGGCCTTTGCCAGCCGAGCCAGACACAACTGCTTGCCTAGCCGAGTTTAGTTGACAAGCCGGGCATGCCGCTCCAGGTTTGTAAAGGTTTCCCTTTCGGATGCGACACGACGAAAAACGGTGTAGGCATGGGAATTGTACAGATCCGTGCCAGCCAAGCACGTCTCTTTTCAGCGGCGTGTTTGGTTGGCACTTGCTGAATGCTCTACAGCAGCTCGATGCGCTCAAGATGCTTAGCCCTGAAGACTGCGCTAGCGCCGCTAGCGCCGGTGGCCAAGGCTCCCGGCCAGAGGTGTCGGAAGAGCCCAGCGCAAAACGCGCCAAAGCTTGGAATTCGCGAAAGCCTGGCAAACTCACTGGACATTGCCCGCATGCAGCGTTGGATTTTTCAGCGGGACTGGGACCCAACCCGCGCCTTTGCCCGCAGCTCGTTTTCTCAGAAGTGCCGCCCCTGTCGCACCTCTCTTTTGCAGAGGATTCAGGGCAGAAGCCATGAGTGGCGTCCCCAGTCATAAGCTTCTATGGTCAGCGAGAAGCTGCATGAAAAGATCCAACCTTGTGATGTGTTATCGAAGCAATGCTTTTCAAGTTTCACATGTGGCTGTCTGAGTATTTTGGTTTGCCGGAGCATATTCAAACTATGACAAGTTCATGATGTCCCACGCTCCCCGAGGCCGTGCCGTACTGCAGGTGTTTGAGGAATATCAGAAGGACGGCGTGATGCTGTGCAGAATCACAGAATGCAAAAGAGTCTACGCAGCCTCGCCTCTCGAAGGCCCGCGTGACCTTCGTCCAGACTGTGGCAGACCTGGTGGCACCACCTCGCTTGTAACTGTGCTAGAAGATACTCGAAGTTTCGGCGCAGTAGACCTCCCCTCTGCACCGCCATGGCAGGCGACGCGCCCACAGAACATCGATGCACTCCAAAATGCAGGCGCGGCTCTCTGAATTGCAGATTGCTTTCATCATCAGGGCCCGGGATGAGCCAGGAAGTCTTATAAATCACCAACTACTCCGAAACCCTCGATCCCCAAGTCTGCAAGATGTGACTGTAAACCCAAACGAGGAGTGATGGCGCTTTTGCGTCCCCTGCTCCTGGATAATGTGGCCTCCATTCAGTGTCTCGGCTGCAACGACAGCCGGCTCGAAGTTTTTAGAAACAAGGTTTACGTCTTTAGGCCATAGGGCTCCGCGATTTCTCGGATCTCTGCTGTACCCCAAAGCCCAGGCAGTCAGCAGCCCTGGCTTTGGGACGCCTGGCCAACTATAGGCCGGAACAGACCGCGGCTTTGGGCTTGGGGTTTACGTTTGACTTAGTCTTCAGTTTTTTTTTGTTGCGTGCATCCTCCTGCATCGATTGTGGTTCCTGCTTGTTAGACGATCCTAAACCAAGCCGTCGTGGCTCGCTTTAGGGCTTCGTCGGAACCAGACAGTTGTCCACATGATCGTCGTTAGGTTGTTGCTTCATCCGCTGCACATGTTGCTAGCCTTCTGGTACGAAGAGATCTTGCTATTATGCCAAGTCATGGCGCTTCTACATCAGAAAGATGGGAGCCCAAGTGTTGAGCCTGTAGAATACCCCTGTCCTACCTTCGCTCATTCGAATTCCCTTGTCTGCCCGACCCCAAACTTCGAACCTCGAGCCCTAAAGCAGCCCTGAAATCTCCTTTATTTTATAGGCCCTAGACCGAAAAAGCCCATCTGCCAGTGACGAGCTGGCCGAGTCGGTAGTTACCCACGAGATCTTGCCACAGTTGGTGCAGCCGGTCTGAGACATCTGGGAGGTGTTCTAGTCAGCTTGTTCTTTCTTCTCTTGATGGTCGGAAACTCATATTGACCTTTGACAAGAGAATCCCATTTTAGAGCCACCCAATCGGACAGAGTTCAGGAGTGGATTGTACGGCTTGGATGAGATGCGAGTTTCACGAGGGAGTCTGGGCATTGGCCGTTTTGAATTCTGCTCAAGAGCCCTGAGATAGACCCCAAAACAGGATCCCTCCAAGGAGTGTTGCTGCTAGGAAACCCTGTACGAAGCTCGGAGGCCCGGCCACGCAAACATAGATGTACACGAACCAGGCTTCAACACAGAAACGCCGGACAACAGGTGTCGCAAGAGGTTCAAGGTCCATCCTGCATTCCGAGCCGGAAACAGGATTCCAATACTGGTGCGCAAGTATTTTTGCGCTCTGCCTTTGACACAAAATCAGAAGCTATCCTAGCAAGCGTTGCGATTCCGGCATCCAGCTGCTCTGGGCCAAGGTATTCGCTGGCTCAGCAGAACCGCTTTTACAAGAAGGCCTGCTTACGTTTCCCTCGTCGAGCTTGCATCATTGTGCTTTGATGCAAGGCTGCTGCTTTCGTCCTTCGTGCCGTGTCGAAGCACTCTCCGCAACTGGCACAGGCACCTTGTGTCAGCAGAAAGAGGCAGCTACAATATCCTATAGTGCATTATAACAATGTAGTATATTATGGCGTAGCATAGTATAGCATGGCGGGGCCGAGCATAGCGAAGTAAAGTGGTGCAACATATGGTATAGTATAGCCTAGTATACTAGAGTACAGCACAGTACAAACAAAGGAAAGTGGAGTAGAGTAGAGTACACTGAAGTACAGCGCGTTTTGCAGCATCTTCTTTGATCTCATATGGCCTCATATAGCATTATGTTGTACCATATCGCTTTCTATCGTGTCATATGGTATTATGAATATACCAGAACCGGTTTTTCAGTGTGTTACATTTCTTATCGAAGATATGAGACTACAGTAGGGTAATCATTTTTATGTCTTGTATTCTACCGTGACCGTTCGAAAACGTAGCAGCATCAGTATAACAGTATAAGTATCCCCTAGTAAACCCTACACCCTTAACGCTTATCCGTTTTTTGTCATGCCGTGATTCGTTGGGGACGTCGTGGACCGAGGCAGTGGTCGACTCCGGAGCGTTGGAGGCTCTGGTAAATTGCCTGGAAGAGTTTGACCCTTCCGTGAAGGCAGGGGCTCGCCTCTTCTGTTTTTTTGGTTGCGGGCTTGGGTATTGCTGAATGGATGCCTTCATGCTCCGCTTGCTCCATGATCTGACGTAGCTAAATAGCACCTTGTGGATGATCGGGTTGCTGAGGGCCCATGGACTGCAGGTTTTGTGAGACGGGAGTCAAAGACACAGCCGAATGCCCAAACAGCGTACCCGGTACATGGTGGTGGACCTGTGGCAGGAAGCAGCCGCGTGGGCGTTGGGTTACATTGCAAGGTCGCATCCTCGGTTTTCGATTTTTAGCCCTTTTGAGGGTGTACTCAACCCTGGCCTGCACGCATAGATATACGTACATACATGCATGCATGCATACATATGCATACATGCATACATACATCCATGCATAGACAGTTGGAGAGATGCATGCATGCATGCGTTCCCGCATACATGCAGACATACATACATACATACATACATACATACATACATACATACATACATACATACCTACATACCTACGTACATAAATACTTACATACAGACAGACACACACACAGAAACCCCGCAAGCATGCCACCTTAATTGTGTAGGTAGATTCATTGATAGATAGGTAGATTTCATGGACACATAGATGAAGAGGTACATAGTTAGGTGTTCCCCGAAGTACGCACCCCTATCGAAGCGCACAGCAAAGTTCTGCTGCGAAAGTGCCGAACCCAGTAACGAAGCCTCGCGTGTGCAACTTGCCAGGCACACCAAAGAGTTGGCGCAGACGGTAGTCGACGCAGGTCCACCGCATCTGGAGGTATTATGATCACGAGCCAGGATGCTATCGCCATGACTGTGGGACATCTGGCTCGAAGGTGACCGGTCCCCGGATAAAAACCTGATGGCCATGGACTCTGAGAGTCTACGAGGCATCAAAGCTGAGCCAGGTCTCAACCTTGATCCCCTGGAACAGAATCCACACCATCGAAAGCCAACAGCACCACAACCGACCTGTGCAGAGCAGAGCCCCAGTCCGAAGACCACTGGGCCTAGGCCTGGCAGTTCAATCCAGTTCAGACTTCTCCCAAAGCTTCCAGTAAGACCCCTTCAGGCACCTCCAACGGGCCCTTCCCTCTTCCTGGAGCCATGGTGGACTTAGACCTGTCCGAGGAAGAGCTGAAGGCAGCGTGCACGCGGCTTCGGTTGGTCGGGGATAGGTCGTACCTTCCCCACCACACTCGCAACCATGAGGAGCCATTCTGACCCGAACACAAACACCACCGCACCACTACCGAGAATTCCAACAGCGGCAAGGTGGCGCTGGGCCGCGTTATCTCCGACAGTGGCTGGCCAACTCCCGGCACAGTTCGCGTCTCAGCTCTTGGATCAAGTTTAGGTGGCCCCGTAGGGGGCGGATATCAGGACGTGTAGTGTCTGGGGGACAGCGAGGATTTGAGATCTGCTTCTAAGTATTCCTTTCTGTGTGGCGACTTCCCGAGATCTGTGGGAGTGGCTGAGGGTTCAGCTCGGGCCCAGTGCTCCTCTACATGCTATCGTTCAGGTGACTGCATCTGGCACCACGAGACCAGCAGTTACTCTGTACAGCGACCAGCTTCGGTCCTAAGCCGGATTCTTTCCGACCCAGGTTGTCACGATTGCTGCAGATTGGGATGGGTCCTACAACGGCGACGACTTCCTGAGGCTTCAGGCCCGCTTTCGGCTGGCAGAACAGACCGAAGAGCACTGATAAGGCAACAGTAAGGCAAGAAAAGCGTCGGGCACGTGAAAGTTCAAAGCAACCCTGGTAATGAGAAAGACCACACGACAAGGGCTCTGACCATCACTCGGTTCATCGGGACTTGGAGTCCAAGAGTGGTGTATCAGGTGCCAAAGCCCTTATTGCAAGCTAGGTGCTGGAACTCTTCTCTCTGCAGGGCTACTTCTTACATCTTCTCGCGTCTATGCGTTTACCACTAGTCGTATCGTCCAGTTCTTCATCGTCGATTGCAAGTGACAGCTAGTCTGGTTGAGTCGAAGGAGGGCTGCCTTGCGGGACTCGGGGATCTCTGTCGAGATGATGGGGATTCCATCGAACACCTTCGGGTGTATGTGAGAGTCCTCCACGTTGTTAGGATCTTGACAGGAAGCATCTGCATCATATTTTAAGAGGCACGGGTCCGACCCATCGTCCTCGGACGTTTGGTGTTTGACCGAACACTGCCACCTCTTCCTTTCGATTCAGTTTGGCTTCCTTGGATTTCACGTCCATGGAGTTCTTAGAAGCCGAACCTCCAGGCTGGAGAGCAAGTGAGGATCACAGCCCGCGGCCGAGTGTTTTCTTGGTATCGGAACGGGGGGTCGCAAAAAGGGTGCAAGCGCATCTCAGAATGTTCTCGTACTTCCCTAGAAGTTCACGAGGACTCCAGGCCTTTGGCCCGAAATCCCTCGACATCCGCAGACAGGGTGAAGGTTTGGAGTCTAAGACTCGGGCTTCGGGTTCCAGGTGCACGCTTTCAAGGCCGAAAGACCAGAAGCGGTTGTCGCCGAGGACGTGTCGTCAGGCGGTGCGTTTCTCTACGGCTCGGCCTGGGCCTCGATCTGACGGGGTCCTTCAGCGGAGCCGGGCGGGCCGGGCGTGCGGACTGCGGCTCCACCTTGTGGGACTGGATGCTGGAGGCAACGACCAGTGATTGGTTCTAGTTGACACGGCTAGCTGTAGTCCCCCAAGTGGTTACCCCATCTGCACTGACGAGCATTTTGTTTCTTGGCTCCGCAGCCCAGCAGCGGCCCAAACTGTGCCCCTTGAGGTTGTCACAGCCCGCGGACCGTCACGGTCAGGATGGTTCGGTGGTCCCGGCTGTGAGGCCTGGACAATGCAGGGTTTAGCCCAGGCTTCAGGCAAGTTTAGAATCGTTCTGCCACGGCGGGGCAATGTAGCGTCCGTGATCCCAGTGGCCACCTGGTCTGCGCTGTTGTGCCAGAAATGCGCAAGAACACAGCTCTAGCCACATGCCTTGCTCAGGCCGTCATGGCAGTGTCCATCCCAGTACCCCTTGGCAAGGGCTCCGAAGAGGACCTGCCGCTAGAGGGCCCAGGAGGCACAGGCATTTTTGGGGAGATGTCAGCGCCAAACAAAAAGCTCAGGCACCAGAGAGTTCTGTAGGAGATGATGCTAGCTTGTCCAAGCCTTCAAACCCTGAAGGCAAAGCCGTTGGCTTTGGCTTCAACGGGGCACCGGGCTCACTTCAAGAAGAGGTCGAGGCCTTCTCTCCGCTGTGGACGTTTGATGCACGCGCTTAGGTTCCTTCTACACCCAGCAGGCTCAAAAACTCTCTTAACCCAGGACTGCTCTAATGCGACAACGCCTGGCTGCTGCGACATTTCTGCCGTTGTTCACGGGAGCCTAGCGCGAGAAACGCTATTTCTCAAGACACCTTACTCCAAACGTCGCATGCAAGACATACCGACTATTTTCACGGTGTGGCCGCGACACAGATATGTCAGAAAGTTGCATGAAGCTGAGCCTGCCGACGCGCTTTACAGTTCGGTCAGCAACGGACTACGCCCAACTTCAAACAAGACCCCACTGCTCTTCAGCACAGGCCTATGTGGAGCGAAACTGCGTGGACATCCCGGCAGCCACGAGGCTTCGGGAGCTGCCACCTGAGCTCCAGGCGCCTGCGGCTGCGGTCAAGACGCCTGCGCTTCACGGTTCCGTCGTTACTGACCGGTAGCTACTCCTCCGACTCTCCGATAAGGCCTTAAAGCTTAAAGTTGCCATTTGCATCATCGTGCTGTCAAGCCTCAGACGCATGAAGCGACCTCAGAGGCTGAGCTCATAAAGACCGACATGACGAAGAGCATCCGCAACCCATCTGCAGTGGGGGCCCCGGCATCACCCGCTGAAGTTGGGCAAAGGCATGTGGGATTTCGGGCCCTTGCGACTTGGCTGTAGGCGAGACCGGACATGGGCATGCCTGGCTCTCCTCTGGGGACTCTACTGGTAGGGTCTGTTTCTAAAGGCAGCGGGGTCTCTGTCCAAGCCAAAGAACCCTCCATGGTGAGGCGCTACTGAGCCGCATCAATCACCTCGTTAAGGCCTGAAGCGTTTGGTGTTGTTAGACTGGGAGGGCTTCAGGCTTCCGAGATCACGATTTTTCTTGCGTCATGCACAAGACAAGAAGAGCTAGCATCACGTCAGAGAGACTTCCTTGCATGGGATTGTATGTGGCGGTAGAGAAGCTGTACGGAAGTCTAGGAGGCTCTGCCTTTGGAAGCTGCCAACACGAGGGTGTCCAAAAACTCCCTGTGTCAGCTTAGGGGCAGAAGATGGAGCTAGCTCGCAACTTTTCTCAGGCCCGCTCCCTGAATGGTTTCATCTGGCAGGAGGCGCAGTTTACGGAGCCTCCTCCGCAGGTGGTGTCCCGAGCCGAGGCGATTCGGGCTGATGGGTTTCCAGGTCTCGTGGTGCAAGGAGTGGATCTTGGGAGTTCGGTTTCAGAGGTGTTTCGGCTTCTGCAGAAAGTCCAGACATCGTAGCAGCACCTCACGAAGCCCGAACCCCCTCTGATCTCGGCCCAATTTCCTTCCGCGGAGACCAGACCGAGTGCCGGAAGGTTCCTCAGATCACGATCCGTGGTAGTGCTGGGCTCAGGCGGTCCCTGCACCTCACTTGGTGGTTCGTGGAAGCACAATGCCCCAAGAATGTAACAGGAAAGCAGTTCAGCCTGCAGAACTTGTCACGAGTAAGCCGAAAGACGACTTCCGTGGACGAGTCCGGACAAATTTCCCGAGCTTGCAGTCATCTGTGCTGATCTGGAGTTACAAGGGTGCTTCTGAAGATTGCGGGGTGGCTTTAAGGTGCGTCGAGGAAGGTTCAGCTATGTAGAAGTTTTGCAGTTCCCGTGGTTGTGGGCCTGGTGCGGGTTTGGATCCTGAAGGGGTGTTCCGGAGAATGATGACGAGGTCAGGTGAGGTTGCGAAACATGATCTGCTGCGACATGGCTACTGCCGCTCCCGTCAATGCCGCTGCGTGCAGGGGACCGCACGAACGAAGCAGAAGCCCACGGAGGATGCAGAGGCCGAACTAAAATACCAGGGCTTGCATGCAGTGCAAGGCCCGAAAGCCTAGATCCTCCGCCTCAAGCTGCATCAGATGATGCCTTAGTCTGCGGCGTTCAGTTTGGCGATCACCTGTGCTTTAGGACTTTGAGTTTGCGATGCGTAGCATGGTTCGGCTTCGCAGTTTCGCAGGTCCGGTGGAGCCATCCCAGCTAGCCGCTTTAGTGCTCCAAGGATGGGCGAGGCACAGGTGGAAAGTCATCTAGAAATCCTCTGTTCGTCCGGAAGTGGCAGTTGACCCTGGAGGTAGTGCAGGCAGTTTTTCTTCGTCTGCTGTGCGGTCACAGTTTGAAGGAGCAGTCCAAACCCAGAGAAGAGGGATGTGTCACATTCAGGAAATCCCAAGCGAAAGCTCCTGTAGAAGAGCTAACTCACAACACGAAGAGCGAGCAATGTTTCATTCGCACGGATTGCCGAAGGCAGACTCTTGGTCCCATTTTGTGTTGATGAGGATGCAATCTCCTGCCCGTTGCTACAATCGCGATAGTGATGTAATGATGACTACTACAGGTGTATCTCAAAATCCGAAATTCGGAAGGCCATCCCCTACATGCCACATGGTGGAGTCAGCTCAGACGAGGCACAGGGTATCTTGTTTGAGAGTCTGACGGTCCAGCCAAGTGCCAGAAACGCGCATTGCGATTCGACCACGGCTGGTTCAGCCACCCTTGGTGGCACAAGCACCACCCATTCGTGCCGACTGAAATGGCGACTGAAGCGATGGAAGGAGCGGTTCAAGCCCGTGCAAGAATCATTTGCTCGAAAGGCAAGTTCGTTCTGGCACCCTGGTCCTCCGAATGAGCGGGCTGTGTCTGGTAGTTCTCCGATTGAGTCCTCTACTGACGGAAAGTTTTGGACAGTGAGTTGGTTGGAGCGCTCCATCTTGCATGAATGCACCACTAACTCGCAGGCGCCTCCCTAAAATGTCGTTTGCTGATTTTCTTCAAACCATGCAAGCAGGAAAATCTACTTTCGATCAGGATTTTGGCTTGCGCAACACCATGGTCTGTCGATCCAACAGCAACCCTGAGACCAAATATCTTGTACAGTGAAGACACCTCCGGCCTTGAATGATGTTGTCTGTGTCGAAGCCATCGATCTTGACATGGAAGGTGGAGAGCTTCATCGCGAGACACGGCCTCGACCATTCTGCTGCGGACAGACTGCGAGTAAGGGCCTCTGCCGCGCTGGGCTTCAATTTTGGGGCTTCAGGGTTCCGGGGGTCAGGAGCCATAGTTCCCCGCGCTTGTAGGCTGTAGTCCAGACCGGTTCTGGCTGCAGTGTTTGGGTCGAGCAGCTGGCCCTTGGTGTATGAGGCAAAGGCGTCAAGTCAGAAACCGCAGGATGTGCTTCGTTGAAGCTCTCGTAGCCTGGCTGAGCAGATATGTGAGGCACTCAGCCGCCCTGTTCCGATTAGTCTCTCCGTCCCAGGCTTTGTCGCCAGAGGAGCAGGAGAACATCGCCTGCTTCCCGGGCATAGATCCCAAACTCTCGTGTTTCAGTTGTCGGGTCCCGTCCCGCCAGGTGGGCCACGAAGGTGTTGGCTTGACAGTTACCAGTAAGGAGTAGGCGAATGAAGACGAGAGCGGTCAGACAGCAAGTTTGAGGCCTCAGAGCCATACAGCAACCAGCCGCACGGGGCATTTCCTGCTTGTCAGGATTCTTAAGATAATGAAACACCACTATGCGCAGGAGCGTTGTCAGCAGCAATGCCGGTCTCTTCGTTTCTTTTTGGAGACCCTGATTGTTTTCTTGGTGTTGGTGCTCGTTGCAGTGGTGGTTGGTCGTCGTGTTTGCACGTGACATCGTGTGGCTGTCAAGCCCAAGTAAGGTCCTGACTGATCTCACCAACGCGCGGAACCCCTCCGCGGTAGTGCTCTCACGCATCGACAGAGTGCACAAGGAGGAGGCCTTGCTGGCAATCCAAAGTGCGGGAGCTGAAATTGGGTGCCTTGATCCTGATGGTGCTTGATGCATGTGACGCAGTTTTTTCTGAGTGTGTCATGCACAAGTCGTGCAGTTTTCCGAACCAAGCACCTTGAGTTGCTATGACGGCTACAGCTGCAATTCAATCATCTTGTCTCGGCCTTTGGCATCTTTTGCCACGTTTTGGTTACTATCGCCTGCCCCAAGTCATTTTTCCTCAACTTGTCTGGGCAAAGGGTGGTTCGGCTAGAATAGCCACCTCCCTTTTTTGGTCCGCACTTTTCGGGCTGCAGGGCCACCGGCAGCAAGTCGAGGAATACCTGCAACCCGGCGCTTGGTTGGGAAGGGTTGTTGTGTCGCGGGAACTTTTGGTTTGCGGGAACTGTAAACTGAAATCATGAGAAGCAATCAGTTTTTATTTGGCGATTGCCCATTTTCATCTCTTAGAGGAAGGGGTCTCTAAACTATGGAGGTTAGAACCATGAGTTTTGATATACTACAACTGAACTTTCTGAATTCTTGCTTGATTATGCCAAGACTGTTGGATACGGTATGCGCATAAATCTTTTATTATTATTGTTTCCCTTTCCGATCCCAAACAGTTATTGTTCAATTCTTTTTCCCATGAACAGTGCCGTCACAGTATAAAGTGTTAGTCTATCAATCACTACCCCTTGCTCGTCAATTACAAATTAAAGGATCTGGGCCCATATGACCAGGCATTCTTCAAATCAATGCACAGTCTTTCACTGGTATATATGAACCGGTGCCTCCAAGCATTTTCAACGATTTGGTCATTCCACGCTCATCTCTTCATGTTTAAAACTGCCATCTGTCTGTTGTCCACTTCCATCCTCTCCGTTTAGTTCAACCTCACACAAACACAAACTACCCCGCTAAAACATGTCTAACTCATGCGACATTGAGATGTGATCCTCTGATGTCGATGTCATGTCCTAACATCAGCGTCGAACTATGAGGCCAACTTGTTGCATGGTAGCAAGCAAGAGTCTCCCTGAAGTTGTAATGTGTTCGAGATCAGCAATTCCAACTTGCGCTGTGGCCATGCACGTGCTTCAAGCCTTGCTCGAAATCAAGGCATCGACACAACATTGACGAGGCTGGTGCTGTTTGCATTGGGTCGAGGTAGGGTCGGGGCCTGATGGCATCATGATCTCCTCCGACATGCCTCAGAATGCTCGCTGCGCCCGCCGGCATGGTTGTAAGACTGTATTGCCTTTGCAAGACCATTGGACAAATCTACAGATGATGCATTGAGTGCTGTACTCGGCGCGTTTGCTGAATTGCCAACACGTCGGTTTCCTGTCCACGGAGCCTGATCTGCGAAGAGAACAGCATAGACTCCCCATGCCCACAAGGCCGCCTAGAGAGGTTTCTTGACCCGCCTGGAAGCAAGGTAGTTAGAGGTAGTTGGGCATTCCAAAACATCTCGGCCAGGAAGCGTCGGCGATGCTCCGCGCCCTGCCTGTGGATCGCCAGCAGGCCCCACACTGGAGAGTGGGGGCCGGTGGGCCAGCAAAATAAGAACCGGAGGAGTGCACTTGGCTTGGTTGCCGTTCGATGACGCTTTACCGCACAGTTTTGTTCTGCCGTTTTCGATCCTTGTATTAACAGCTCTACTTCTTTCGATGCAAGTTCTGCACCAGAACCGCGCGTTCAGACTTTTGGGAAAGCTAGCAGGTGATCATCGGCAGCGATATGACCAACGCCAACAACAGCTTCTTTCCCAGTTGATTCGGGCCTGGTTAGGCCGCCGCATTTGCGGTATTTTACGGTTGAGGCTTGGGGATGATCCAGGCTTTTCGCCCTTCCCTGAAGGCCTCTGAGGAGGGAATTTGCGAAATACAGAGGAGGCAGGCCCTTGGATTGAAGCCGAGGCGCCTGCCCGCTGTAACCGAGGTTCTGCAGTCCTCATCTCGCGGATTCGCGGGATTGAGGCCCGATTCTGCGAACTTTGGAGTCCACGCATTTTTTTTGAACTTAGGGTGACCACGTCCAAGCAGAAAGTCCTGAGGACACAGGCTCAGGTCTGCACCGGCGGGGGATGTAGAAACGACCAGGCGGCCAAATCATAGAAATGTCGCGACTCTCTATTCGTTCACGGATGGCAGGGGCATTCGTGTTGATACCGCGACAACAGCAATGACCATTGGAGGCTTAGTTTTGCGGATCGCATCAACAACGCAATCGCAAACAATATTGCCACAAGTGTATACGCTACTTCTAAGCCTCGCGACTGCAAAGGAACTGACGGCAACTATGAAGGAATGATGCCTGAACCAGCATTACTGACGATGGTGATAATCAACAACAGCTGTTTAGCCTGTCCTAAGAAGCCATCTGCACAGCCGAGAAAGGCATTTTGCGACTTGGAATCCAGCCAAACCCAAATTAAGCCAATACCTAAAACCGGGAGGCCATGCACGTACCGGCTGGACAGCCGCCTCCCCCCTCAGCCGGTTGGCGACCCTCGGCGGGGCGCGGGCTGGGGGCTCAGGTGAAGTCTTCGTGGGTTGTTGGACTTCCGGTTCCTGTTCCGAGACACCAGGAATAGTTGTCAAGGGACAGCAACAGCAACTGTTTTGTTGGAAGCAGGGGGATATCAAGCGATATTGATTTGGCAAAAGTCTTTCTGCAGCCGAATCTCTGAACTCCCCAACGCTTCGCTCTGCATTGGATTGCAGACAAGGCCGCCTCGAGCAGCAGCGGGGGCGCCCCTGCCCAGCCCGGCTGAGGAGTCTTCCGCGAAGTTTTGTCAGCATTCTTGTCAGAGTCTTTTTCTCCTCAATCCGATTGTTATGATGACGAGGAGGATGATGATGATGTACAGAATGAAACTGAGTAGTCTTCGCTGATGTTGATGACTGCCACTGCACCGTGATGGGCAATGCTTTGGGCTAACTGTTCCAGGACTTCATTCGCCGGTGGGACCTCGACGACTCTGTGGCGGCACAACTGCGGGCCTTGCCGATAGCACAGCTCAACGAGGTGCCTTTCGGGAAGAGAGCTCCGGATCACGAACTCATCATCCGCAGCATCGTCCGTGTCCCCCTCCTTAGTCTCGTCGTGGTCCCCAAACTCAGCCTTATCCTATTTGGTCATCGTCGTAAGCTAAAGAAGAGCAGTGCGGTGAAGGTGCAGCTCGAGGCTTGAAGGGTGCAGGTGGCACAGCGGGGCCAGTGTTTTGGGTAGATGAGGTATGTTGGCGGGTTGGGTGTAGGGGCATTTGGCTGGCTTGATCACGACCATGCCGGCGACGCACAAAAGCCTGTCTCGGGTTGCAGCCCAACCCCGTCAAGCTTACCAAAACCAGACGTCGTAAGAGTTCTGCAATTTCCTCCCGAACACCCAGACCCGAGTTGCCAAACACACGGAACCTGCATCTTGAACTTGGAGTCTTACACCGCCAGGACCCCATCCATCTACACCTTAGACCCCTAAAGCTGCAAACCAATACAAGATATCATATAAAAATACACTATAAAGTACTGTTATATACTATGATATACTATGTTATACAGAGAAACGGGGCAGTGAACAGCCCCCTCCCTGGAGGTCATGACCTGCAATGTGGCGCAAGCTCGCAACCCTTCCGCCATGGTGAAGTCCAGGAGCCGCCCCGGTTTCCCCAGGGTTTAGGGTTTAGGGTTTAGGGTTAGGGGCCACAAGGATGATCATGAAAAGACAGCTGCAACAACACTTAAGAGTATAAACGAGTAGGGTTTAGGGTTTAGGGTTTAGGGGTTTGGCTGGGTCCACTTCTCTTCAGCGAAGAGGAGCTTAAAGAGGAGATGCAGTCTTACAAGGGGGTTTGACGGGTCGAACTGTGGAAGGAGGCTTATCGTAGTAGATTTTATGGTGTTATAGTATAGTGTAACATAGTACCACAGTGTATCCTAGTAGAAAAGAGTACAATACAGTGTATTACACTGTGTTAGTTGGCAGCTTTGCCGGACTTCTGGCCCGGTCCAGGGCCTCAGGTAGGGCTTCAACCTGCTCAATTCTTAGTCCAATATTGTAACATGATTGAAGCCCGAGTAAAATGCGTGCGCTGGAAATTTGATTCTGTCGTCAATGATGGTGATGGTGGTGATGGCGATAGCGTTCAGTGACGACATGCCCACCTGCGTGACCCAGGCTGTGACACAAAATGCCAGAGCCCAACAAAACAGGAAAGCTCACAGGGTGCCTCAGAGAGGATCTGTTTGTGAGCTGGCAGCCCAAGTTCTCCAGAGCTCTGTTGGAGCCGATGCCAGGATACGCTCCGTTACTGCCCGGTCCCAGACTCGGTTGTTGTGGGGCTGCTGTCGAGGCCCATGGATCTCGGATCCTGAGAAAAAGGAGGGACGTGGCAGGGGCGGTTCTGTGGATAGGCGGGTTGGAAGTAAGACCGGAGGCATGCTTGGATTACTCAGAGGCCTCCTGCGCCAGAGTTCTCGGTGCACCAGGATACGGTGGAGGACCGATCAAGCCACCTACGTGCTCAGCTTTGTGCCTAGCAGTGCGGAACTTTTTTCTCTTCTTCGGTTCTGTGCTCTGACCTGTGAGGAGTACTTGTCCCGGTATAAAGTGGATGAGGCCAACCGGCGAGCAGCTTCCTGTGAACTGAAATGTTGCAAACACTGCAAGCGCCCTCTCCTTCTGTACCTCGTACTGGGATCTTACTTCTTTTTTTTCTTCTTCTTCTTCGTGCCATGGTGGCCGTCTAGTCTCCATTCCTGAACTACTTGGCTCTCACTGCGGCGTGCGTCCAGCTTGCCCGACATCCCCGCATGAATCCGGATCTGCTGACTGCTGTGAGTCGCCATGTTACAGGCAGCGCAGGCAGAGATGCGTGCCGCCGCACCGGAAGTCCAATTGCGGGTCATGGAGCAGGTGCCTGTAGATGTCAGATGTCATCAGAAGAAGGCAAAGCTTAATGAGGACCGCAGAGTGGCGTGCATCCTAGAATGCATCAGGATGGTGCAGAGTCTCGACTCGACGGCTCACGTGCAAGTGTAAGGCTTTGTAACTCTCAACACATCTTGCAGAGCTGCGGCGATGGGGTCTCTGGCTTCGGGCTTTCTACTCTTCTCTAGACCCTGGTTACCTAGTTACACTAGTTCTCTTCGAGGCAGTCTGCTGCTCCGCTCTCGTCCCAGGAGCTGAGCAACTGTCGGAATCCCTCTGCTGTCCTCTCTTCGAGGATTCGAGAGATCTCTCGCGGCAGCAGGCGGGGAGATCTGGTTTCAGGTCAGCTAAAGATAAAATCTGTCATCTGACAGTGGGCAAGCTTGCCATGAACGGTCGCCTGGTGCGAGCAGAGTCGGTGCGCATGTTGCCTGTAGTGTTCCAGCAGACTGTCGATGGTTGGAGGGCGGTTGCAGACACTGACAGCTCTTGAATTGGATTAGACTTCCAGTTTGGGCCAAGAAATCTATGCAGCTGGGTTTTGCTCAAATGATACCGTGGAGCTAAGAGCGTGAAATTTCGAGCCTTTCCTGTTGAGCCGGAGAACATATCCCTGCAGGTGAACGTGACAACTGAGTGGCCTTCCCGAGGACACATAGCAGCTGTTTCACATCTGCCGAAGGATGTGGCGCAGAAGGTTATCAAAAGAGATTGCATATGGCGAATACCTTCCGCTTGAATGCTTCTCCTCTGAATCGATTACCTCCTTCAATGCAAACGCTAAGACATGTACTGCCATGGACTGCTTGGAGAAGTGCTTGGCCTGAATACCGACATCGTACATGCTACCGTAGACACCACCTTGAAGATGTGCAGCTTGGACCCTTGGGCTACTTCTTTCGATGAGTTGGGCTGAACTTTGCAGCATTCGTCTGCAGGCGCAGTACCTTTGCTGGTCTTGTGCTTCCAAGAGCCAGAACTTACCCTGAAGCGAATCTCTGCGTCGGGTGACCCAGACACAGGCGATCGGAACAGAGAATTACCGAGTCAAGTGATGTCGCACGGTCTTGTGACACGTTGCCGGCCACGGCACGTCATGTCAACATGTGAAGATCGGTTGGTGCTGCTACAGCCGACGAGGTCTGCCCTGAGCGACATCTGCAAGCACTCTCCTGAGCTGGCACAGACTGTGGTGGACGCAGGCCTCTCGCAGCAGGGACTGGGCAGGAACACACAAGTTGCTTGCAGAGGTAGAACACTTGCAGCTGGTAAGAGTCCAATGCCGTTTTAGGATCATATCCGCAAAGAGGTCAATTTGGACAAGGGACTGTAGCATTCCCGGATTTCCATAGCGCATCCCAGCTGCCGGGAGCGCAAAGAGCTCTTGGTGCTCGCTTTCAGGCGCCGTTTCGCTCCTGGCCAAGGACATCTCCCACAACGATGCGCCATTGAAGCGTCAGGCACGGCTTGGCACGCCAGAGTTGACTGTAGTTTGTAACACTCGAAGACATATATAGAGTCGTTGCAGAATGCATGATTGCACTTAGAAGAGTGGCCTGCGGCGCAGGTGTGCTCCTGTCTGGCGCAGATTGCCAAGCACTCCGTGGACCTGGCAGAGGTCCACGGAATTCTGTTGTCATCTCTCCGTCATTCTCTTCCTCATCCAGCGCTTCTTGTCTCTGCCATTACTGGTCCTGCTCCTCCCACCACAGCCACAAACAACCGCCCGCCACATCGGTGACGACTAGCAACTAATGATTCCAGTACGAGTGCGAGGGTTGCGACGGTTGGCGCTGGTGGTGGCAGTGTGAAGGGGATGGTAGCAGCAGGTGGCAGCACATCGCAGCAGCAGTAGCAGCAGCAGCAGGAGCAGCAGTAGTGGCTGCACTTGTTGTCGTGGTCGTCGTCGACGTTGTAGGCGTCGTCGCCACTATTGCGACTGCTATAAATCAAGTCCAAGGAGGGGCGTCGAGGACGTATCATTAAATTAATCAATCATGGAGTCACTCGCTGGAAATCACCAGCGGACAAACATGCATAGCTGAGAGTTGGCTGCGGCAAAAAATCGCGTGTGAGATCTGGCAATCAGGTCGTGGTTGAAGCCGAGATCTTCCCGCGCATCTTGCACTGCCTGAAGGACTTGTGACTGCTTGCCTGGCTGTGCCAAGCTGCCATGCTAACATCTGCTGAAAAAGGCAGGGATAAGGTGCGATTTTTTACTTGAACGAATGTTTGTGGACAAAACCGTCATTCCGTTTCAGTCCCCTGCTCGGACTGCAGGTCGTGCATGGATTTTGCTTCTATGGGGGCTGCACTCATGAGGCAGTGGAGTGAGAGATGCCGGTCCTGCTTGCCGCCAGCCTCGAAAGGCTCTGAAAGATAGGTAACGTACGTGCGGTCAGTAGAGGTGCAATGAGGCTCGGCCGAAGCTGTGCGACCCGGGAGATGGAGACGAAAGCTGGTAGCCGCTGCAAGGGCCTTGCCCAGACACTGCCGATCATTTTGCCGACGCCTCCCAAGGAGGCCTCCGCGCCTGATCTGGGGACACACGAACTCTACGTCCGGGAGCTCAACAACTACCTAGTTGCGGTACACAGGAACCCTTTTGCGTTCCTCTTGAAAGTGGAGATGCGTCGTGATGCACACACCTCAGCCTCTGGACAGAGGGCTGCGACACGCCAGAGCTGCACTCGCCCATTGTTGCAAACAGGCTCGGATGGCCTATGAACACACGCGAACACCTGCATTTTTCACTTGCAGGCACCCCCTTATTTGGGCAATGTGGGCAGTGGCGTTATCCTGCCGAACGGGCAGTGGCGTTATCCTGCCGAACTAGCCTGCGCTTAAATTCTCACCCAAGCTAGATATCATGCTGCAAGTTCTTCTGCAGTAGAAGGCGACACCGGCTGTGCCGAAGAGGGAGGAGGTGAAGCCACCCGCCCAGAGTTTTTAACAACCAGAGTCCATTGGCAGATGGGATTCCTTATCTGATCTTCCTGAGAACCCTAAGGACTTAAGGCATCGGCGGCTTGTGGTTGTGCTGTAAGTCCCCAATCTGCCGTAGGACTCTACAAATTCAGAGCATGCTTTGCTGTGCTTATACGCGTCTTAGCAGAGTTGCAGAAACCAGCCCGAAGATGCCTCCAAGCAAGCCCAGACAGTTCATCGGTCGGCACTGGCTCCTGTGCTTGAAGGGTTTACTCGGTGATTCTTTTGATGGTCTTTGGCTGGACCGCCGGACCGGGCCGGTCATAGCATCTGGGCTGCTACGAACTCTGGAATGCCTGTGACTTCACGGATTGGGATGGTCTAGTCTAGGACATCGACGAGTTCGTGCGGAAGAATGCTGCCACGTGCATCCGCGAGATTGCACGCAGGGCCCTCGTCCCGTACATCCTCTGGGGTCTCGGGAGCTCGAGGGGTTTCGCTGCACATCTCCAGTAGGTTGTCCAAATCCCACAGCCTGGACCCTAAAGCCCTAAATCCTGCTTTAGGCCACACTCCGGACTTGGCCAAGCTCATTGTCAATGCCGGTGGAGTTGCCGCCATGGTGGATTACATCACGGAGGTGCAACCTTCGGAGCGCCTCCTTTCGGTCCTGGTGCGCGCTTTATAGCCCAAGGTCTGTTTTCTGTCCTTAAGGGCATTGAAGCCTCATGCTTCCGTTTACAGATGGCTTCGTGCCGTGAGTTCGATCGAGTTTCTCCGTCCGTGTCTCGTCCTTATGCCCGGGGTTCAGGCCCACAACTTCCGGATTTCGGAAGCTCCTCAAGCTTCTAGCACCAAGGCTCCCGAGCCCCAACTCGGAATCACTGCGATCCTCGACTCCCCCCAAGTTCGGTCATCGGGAGGCTCGCGGCAACAACCGCCTGCCTGGCATCTTGGGTCCCTTTATTTTTAGGATGGTTTTTCAGGTGTTCTTCGTGGCCGTCGCTGGGGTCGTTAAAGTTTGCGAAGCTAAGGCATCATGACGCTGGGATACATTGCGGCGCTCGGACCCTGGATTTCGAGTTGGGTGGGATTCAAAGATTTAGAAATTAATTCGGGGCTGTTGAATCTGCCACAGAACGAGTTGTTGACAGCGGTGTGTTGGGAACATGCAGAGACATCGTGGGTCTTCGTGGGCATAGCATGCAGTAGTGGCAAGATTGCCATTATCATTCGAACCGTTGGCACCTGCAGACAAAGAGCAGTACCACGAAACTGCTCGTCGCAGTTGTAGCACTTGGGAGTGCCAGCCATAGCAACTTCAGGGTGTCCGCTTCTGATGCTTCGAAGGCTTCATGGACACGCAAAAGAAGCGAAGAACACCCCACCGCTCAGCAGCAAAGGTTCTCCGAGACACTGGCGCTGGCTGTCGTGGTGTCAGGGGCCAAACACTTGTAGAACGTGGTCAAACGAGGCAGAATTCCCGCGGTAGTGTCGGTCATCAGAGCTCTACCGGTGCAGTACTTCGCGAAGTCCGTTGCTGTCGCATTCAGGCAGCCCCACAAGCCGAGAGCACAAGCCCACGCTTCGAGGTCGAAGGGCATCCCGCCCCTCAAGGATGCCCTCATCAACGAGCCCGAAGATCACCTGAAGGCAGCATGGGGATCTAAGTGGAAGAGCGAAAGCTGAAACGAAGCCCCAAAGTTGATGGCTTCCAGGCAGCCTCTGCCTGGTCTTTGGGACAGCGGGGTCCTCGGGTACTTCTGCTTTTGGTTTTCTTGGCTTGAGTGATGTTCAGGGTTTGGGGTGTGGAGGGTTTAGGGTTTCGGACGCGGGGCTGGGAGCTCCCAATGGTCAGTTCCCTCCCTCTTCCCCTCCTTTCTCTTTGTGTATATATGCATATTGTATATTTCTGTATGTATACATGTACATTCACATGCATGCATGCATGCATACATGCATGAGTGCTTTATGCCTACATGTGCAAATACGTACATGTATCTACATATGGTACCCCCCCTCCCAAAACCCACTCCAGAATATCAAAAAAGTCGGCATATACATATATCTACAGCTATATATATATATATAGTGCACCTTGTTTGGTATCTCCTTCTTTCGGTCTATTCCAAGGGGGGGAGACAGAGAAAGAGAGGGAAAAAGACAAGCACACATACTAAGATGACGCGGGTTCATTAGTATACTGATTACTGTCTCCATGACGTTCTCAAATTTGCTGCCAGCACCCGAGGATCGGCCGCCACTCTCCAGACCATGCACGTGCCCTTGCCGAAGCCGTCGGGGCCTTTTGAAGTCTTGAATACTGTTTCTGATCAACCTCGATGTCGACTGCGAGTTGGTTCATTTGCCAACCAGCCGTGGCCGAGGACGTCCTGCGAAGATTGCTGGCAGCGGGGGCCTCGCGTGCCGCATGGTTGTGTTGCAAGCGTGTCCAGTCGCATACTGAACCTGCAGACTCCCAAACATGCAATCCTTAAGTTGGTGTGAACGTCCGGAAGGTCTATCTGCACCAGGATTCGAGCGAAGACTTGAGGACCAAGGCCTTTGCTGTCAGGGATGAAGGAAGTTCACTGCTTCCAAGCTTTGCCTTTGACCCGGGGGCGATCGGCCCCCAGATTTATTTGGAAAGAGCAGGATCACATTCATCGCGGCCTCGCAATTGTAGCTTGTTATTAGTTATTGCTAGTGTTATTGCTGCTATTATGGCTGCTATTTGTATTTGTGTGCTGCAGTTGCCCATACGTCCGTTTTGTCTTGGCAGTTTGCTTTTTGCCGTCGCTGCTGTTTTTCTTCCTGCTGCTGTTGCTGTTGCTGTTCCTGAGGTGGTGGCTGTGGCGGTTGAGGTGGTGGTTACAGCTGTCACATACACCACAACGGCATCCGTACGCTAGTTTTCTGTGATAGCGAATTGCCACCATCTGGTCGCCGATCGTGCGAGTAATCTGCTAATTTGCATGTGAGCTGTAAGCATGGACTGATAGTTATTCGATGTGCTGTCTCTCTTTGTCGTTATACGTGCAGCTGTCGACCTGATGTGGCTATTCTCATTGTCATCGCAATTTCCTAGTTGTTGTTACTCCTTCGTGGTCAGAAGCCTTCAGCCCAATCTCCTCAACCCTCAACCCAAAGTTCTGAATCTTAACCCTTGAAGCTCAAATAGCCCATAAAAATGCCCAGAACTTCCCCAAGCCCCCAAAGCCACCCAGCAATCCGAAGCTAGAGCCGCTCCGGGGAGCACGTCTCTTCAGGCCAAGCGCGCCCTGAAGAGCGTGATCCAGAAGTGCACGCACCTGCCAGCCCTCGAGCCGCTTTTGGAGGCCCGGTGCCGGGAGCTTCCTTTGAAGGCCTCTAAAGGGTCCTCTATATATATATATATAAAATAGGAACTACAATGGGTATTATAAGTTATAAGAGGTAGACGAAGGGTTGCCAGAACGGCTGGAATAAGCTGAGGATTCGGAGATTCGGGGTTTCAGCAGTTCAGGGATGATGGATTGGCGGGTCGGATGTAGGGTTCGATACAACTTCAGGGTTCATGATGGAGTGCCACTCAGGGTTGGGGGGGTTCAGGCAACAGGGTTTAGGGTCCAGGGTCCAAGATCCAGGGTCTAGGATATGCGGTTTGGGAACTGTACCATAAGTGGTGATGATCGCCATAATGAGCGTAGTAACCAAAGAAGCCACAGAAGCATTGCAGCTGGAGCGGCTCCAGTTGCGTGGCACAAGCCCTCTGAGCCCCAGGCACCTCCGAACATCTTGAAGTATGTGGTCCAGCAGTTTGCAAAGGTGGCTGGGTTTTTTTTGAAGGTGCTGTGAATTGGAGATTGGTTGGGCGAAGGGTGCCAGGGTCTGTTCGTCAGCACGTCGGTGTACGCTTTTCTTTCGCCGCCATGGTTTGGAATAGAACTGCCGCCAGCGATGTCGCCTCGTCATCCTCCTGCTCCTCCTACCACTACCGCCCTCACGTGACCATAACGGCAGTTATAGCAGCATTGGTGCAAAGATTGCAAGATACAGCAAGTTCAACTAATTCTATCAAGATCTCTGAAGTCTGATGCTCAATTCTCACAGAATGTTCTGAAGCTCTGAACTAAGTGGGCACGGTTCAAGTGCTCCTCCGTCTTTCTCAGGGGATCTGGCTGCCATGCGCAAGCCTTCCATCTTCCCTTTACAGGTGCTCCCGAGCGATCTGAACGCCCGAAAGTCCTTCGTCCAGTCAGGTGCGATCTTGCAGACCACGGTGCACTCAATGTTTTGATGCGAGCCAGTGGGCTGCGTCATCTGAAGTGACACTGACAACACCATCAGGTGGCCTGCAGAAAATCCAGGAAGTCAAGGCGGAGGTCCCTTGCAGAGCGGGGTGGGAAGATTGAGGGCTGCGGTCACGTGGCTACCAGTTTCACGGAGGGCCGCCATGCCTGGACCAGCTCGGATGTCAGGTGGGCTCCAAGCTTCACGACTACATCGAGGAGATCAACATGCTCTACCCGCCAGAGATCGTGCAGCCGGGGACAAAGGAGCTTTGGCGTTTGTTCTCCCCTAAGGTTCGAGAGTCCAGTGGGATTCAGCAGACGCTGAGGTACTACTCGCCCAACTACGCCGAGACGCTACTCAAGAAGATGGAGGAATCTCAGGGAGCATGGGAATGCTTGGGGTCGGCTTGCTGTAAGTAGCTTGAAATCTGGATCTAATAGTGCCCAGGACTTCAACCCATCTGGGTGATCCGGTTCAGCCACTGTCGTGGTGGCTCGTGCCGTGGGAGCCTCATCAGGCACCACAACGTATCTTGAAGGACCATCGTTCCACACATGGCATTCAAGGAGCAACCACACCTTCGTGCCAAGGGAGAGAAATCCTCAGCTGCACACTTCGGAATGTGATGGCCTGCTTGCTGCAGCCAGGGTCTTAGCTGAAATGTGATGATACTACCTTTGACAGCAGCGGGACCCCAGCAGATGAAGGCATGCCCCTGAAGCCTCCACGCACTGCGTGTTAATCCACAGCTTCAGGAGCACGACAGACACACCATGGACCGAGGTTCAAAACTCGAACTGCTCATCTTGCTTCACTGAAAGCTCGTGGTGTGGAGCCATTCGCAGTGCCACGCATGTTTCCAGCACTACGCACAATCTCGAGTTCAGACTGCTTCATCACGTACTAGCTAGTTGGACATGAATGTCCTGCCAGCTGGCACTTGGCTCTTGTAAATTGCAAAAATCTTGCAAATGTTTCCTCACAGCTGCACTTCCGGAATTTCACCCCTCGCGTTTTGCACGCTGTGCACAGCATGTGTGCGCACCCCGTTGTTCAGCGAGTAAATGTAGTCCAGATCAGTAGCACCATTGCTCTGTGTCGTTGCTGGCCAGATGTGCTTCACACAGTCTTCGCACATGCCGCCAGCATGCTGGACTGAACCGTGACACCCTTGTTACCGCGCCGAGACCAAAAGAGTGAATCGAACCCTTCGGCCGCCACGTTCGATCCGGGAATTTGCTGGCTTGGTGTGTGGCCCTTGGGGAATGCAGGCGTGGGAGGCAAACTGGTTTTGGATGTTTCTCGATGGCAGTTTCGATGCAAGAGTGCCGGAGTGAACAATCGAAAACCATGACATGATTATGGCGTCTCGGAGCTTGCTCCCTTCATGACGGGTATGCTGGTCGTTGCATTTGCCCGCGGCTGCTTCGTCTTGTTGCATTGGCGTAGAAAATTCTGAACAATTCTCAGATGTTTGGCTTCATGAACTCCGGGATCAGCTAGAGGGACATTTGGCTGTTCCGATTTGCTCTCGAAGCCGGCAGTTCTACGCGCCTTCAGGTCGTGAGGCGTTCGGCGTGTATAGTTGAAGCATGAAAGTCTGTTGAGCTGTAGCAGACATCAGACATGTCCGCAGCATCTGAAGGTCAACCTACAGCCTTCGTGTCAGTGCATCGACAGGGACAGGTGACAAGCAGGAATCTAGGAGAAAGAGCCGAGTCGCAACATGTCGCTGCTCAAAGACTTCATGGATCCCACGCACCACCGCTTTCGTCGGCGGACCAGGGGCCCAGAGCACCTGGACTACGAGAATGCAGAAGCAACGGTGGAGCCACAAAGGCAGCTGGCAGCCTTGGTACGTGATGCAACGATGAAGATCGCGGAGCATATGGGCGAGGTCGCTCAAGCCCATTCCGCGCTGATGCAAGGGCTTCAAAGATATTTCGGTCTGGATGTCAGTGGCGTGGACACCTCTGCGATGGCCCTAGTGCAGGAATGTGCAAGCGTCACAGAGTCCTTCGAGCAGAGCCTGAAGAAGGCCGGATTTGCGCAGGTCATGGGAAGCTGTGATGAGATCCTGAAAGAGTGCAGTTCGGTGGCCGGCCTGCTGAACGAACGAGATGACGCGCTCTCCGAGAGGCAGCACTACGAAGAGAAGGTCGCAAGCCTGCGCAGCGCCTCCAAGGGCGTGGTCACCGAGCAGATCGCCCGAAACAACGAGAAGCTAGAGCGTGCCAAGGAATCTCACCATCAGAAAGAGGATAAGCTCACCGCGGCACTGCAGTCTTTCATCTATCGAAGGCCCGTGCAGTTTCGGCAGACGCTTTTGGCACTCTTCCGGCAACACGTCGGTGTGTTGGCGGAGGTGGGCGCGAAGGCAGAGGAGGCCATGAAGGCTGTAGCGGCAGAGTTGCAGGTGGGACAAAAGGCGCGCATCGTCGGTCTCCAGAAGGCTGTGGAGCTGAACGAGCTTCTGGTCACCGTCGAGGGTGAGGAGGGTGCCGGTCGCCTCTTTGTGCAGCTCCCCGACGGGCGGCAGAAGTCCGTCCGCGTGGAAAACCTTTGTCCCCAGCTACCAGAGCCACAGGCGCCCAGCTCAAGCTCCAAACGCACAGACAAGGAGGGGCCTGCTGGGCCGGCAGAATCTGGGGAGGAGTCAGCTCTTCCACAGAAGCTTAGATTAGAGCCTGCCCGCATCCCTTGCAGCGGGGCAGAAGTGGTCATCGAGGCGCGAGATCTTGCGGGAACAATCAGCGAGGTCTGGGTGGATGGAACTAGCTGCGAAGTGCTGGAAGATTTGTCCAAGCGTGACTCGCCCGCAGTTCGCGTGCGGGTGCCCGCCTGCAGAAACCGCGCAGGGGGCGCTGCGCTGGTGGAAGTGCGATCGGTTGATTGGGCGCGCCACATGATCCGCGAAGAGGCAGCCAACTACTTTCCACTTCTGACATTCGCCACGTGCAGCCCCAACATTGAGCTGACGGCCAGACAGGGCGACAGCGAGACGCCTTACCTGGATGTGGCCACGCGGCAGAAAGGGCTCATCAGCGCAGTAGCCTTGACCAGCGAGCTTTCGCCTGTACAGGGTCGGCAGCGTTACTTCTTCCAGGTGAAGATCGAAGTGATGGCCGAGAAGCGCTCGAACCGGACCTTGGCACTGGGCTTTGTGTGGCCTCTTCCGCATGCGTTGCTCTTAGAGGGCGACGAGGCCCCACAGCTTAAGCGCCGAGCATCCCTCTGGACATCCGATGGCCACATGCCTGAGCTCGCTCACCAGCTACCCAGATCCTTGGGTGTGAGGTGTAGTTCATTCCAGATGGGTCCGTAGCCATAGTGATTTTTGTGGTTTATTTGGACGTGCCGGAGACCAAGGATCTTTTGTGGTGGGTGGAGATCCGCCCAAGGCATACATGGGGGGCCGGGAGCTGGCTAAGATCGCCTGGCGCCCTCTTCTGGAGTGCATCGTCGGCGCAGAGCTGGGTGTGGTCTTGGACGTGGGGCCAAGCAGCCTTACCCTCTCCATATTCGAGGAGGGCGGACTGAAACCAAAAAGCTTGCGCACATAGTAAGAAGTAGCTAGAACTGCTCAACTTATAAGTAGAACCCTTGGTCCCTTGATTCCTGCTGCGAGGAGGGCGAGGAGAAGTGCGTGGTGGAGGGTCCATTGAGTGAAGAGTGGAGATGGCCCAGCCTGGGTGCGCCCAACGGTGTCCTGGACGTTTGCGGGACGGTGACCAGCGTTTCGCTTTCTCAGGGCGCACAGCCTCCCGACTTGCCCTTGTCGCTCACTGCTGAGGATGCTGCTCGGGAAGGGGGCGACGAGAAAAGGTCCGAAAGTGCATGCCCTGCCCTGCCCTGCCCTGCCCTGCTGCCACCTCCATGGATAGCAGAACTGCGCTTGGTGCCGCGGCGGGGCTCTGCAAGGACGTGACAAGATCCTTCAACAGCACAGCACCTCACACCCCGAAACTCCTTCAACCCATTGCGCTGCAGAGCTTTACCCAGAGTTGACTCCTCTAAAAATGTAGTTCTAAGGCTCAGCAACCCCTTGCCCATGAGCAAGCCCAGCCGGACTTTTGCCGAAATAGTCAGGCCCAGTGCCCCACTTCCGAACTGACTCAACATGACCATGGGCAGATGCCACACGAGGCCCGTGCCTCAGAGAGGCGTCCTGATTTGGACCGTTGGGCTGTGTGCTCTGGCATCGTGGTAGTCGAGCCAGGAAAGATCCGGAGTGGCATCCTTGGGCCAGGCTCGTGCAAGCTTTGCCATGTTGGCGAGGGATGGCTGTTCCCACAGACTCACTCTAACTCTCCCTCCCCCGCTCTCTCTTCCTCTCCCTCGCGCTGCCTCTCTCTCTCTCTCTTTTTCGCTGTCCCTTCCACATGTATTCTGCAAAGAGGGTCGGACTGTTCTGGGGTTACAAAGATTCAGCATCATTGCCATTGCATGAACCATGATTTCTTCACTGGCACATGATTGTCGCTGTCCGTATCTTTCGCTGTCATCCTTGCCACTGTCATACACTATCACTCAGGATCGCCATCACTCTAGACTCTAGTTATCTTGTGATACCAGCTACCTTCACCTGTCGCCACTTATCACCTCCATGTCTCCTCTCCCGCCAGTATAGCTGCCAGGCTGCAGATAGCAGCGGCTGGCTGGAAGCGGTGTTGAAGGTTGGCAGACGGTCTGATTGAACGCACTTCCGTGCTTGTGTTTTGGGCGCGGCCAGTGTAGGGAAAGCTCGAAGCACCCCAGGTTCACTGCTCCTAGTTGGATTGGCCTTCACAGATTGCATGACCACAAAGGTGGTGACCCAAACCCTTCATGATTGGAGCTTCAACACCTTCCTGCGTGGCCAGGACGTCTGTAAGCAGCCCTATGTGGTGGAGTCGCCTGCAAGCTTCCTCAGCTTCGTCCGCTATGCCGACCACTCGCAGGCTCTGTTTAGAGTCCCAGCGCATTGGCTTCAGCACTGACAAGCACCGAGCCCTAGGCCCCCCAGCTCCCCCAGGCCTAGGCGCTCTCCCCCAAACGGGCCCAGAATGTTCAGATTCACCGCACCAGCCCTGGGAGGCCCAGATGTGCATCCTCCGCAAGGGTCTCCAGAAGCTGGCTCTCGAGACCTCCCTTCCCCAAGCGTTGCGGGAGGCACCTTTCCGGGTCAGGAAGGAGCGTTGCTTGAGCGCGTTTGAGCCGTGCTTGCAAGGCGTGCACGCAACACCGAACCGCAGTGGAGGCCGGCCGAGTGTTACTGTACTGCCATTGGTTGTCACTTGCACGGCAATCGCGACTATGTCGTTGTTACTATTACGACTGCGGGTGATGCCGCAACACTTGCAATCAGGGGTAGGTGAAGGCGACGAGGGTGATCATGCAGAGTTTTATTGTTGTTGGTGATTAGCATGATTTCGGACGATGGTGACGATGGTGGTGATGATGATGGTTATGATGGCTTTGGTGGTAGTGATGACACGGCAGATTTTCTTACCTTCTTGTTCCATTGCAGCGCAGCTAGTTACCAGCTGCTAGTATCCTCGGACTCCATGTTCTGTCATGCTAGTTTGCTTCAGGCTGTATGTAAAGGACCTAGACCTAGGTCCGGAGTGAGGTTTTTGTTTTGCACAGTTCCTGCACTTTGGTGCGGCATTGGTGCGGCCAGTATGCAGAGGTTTGCACTGGGTGGAGAATGAAGTCTGCTTGCAAGGCACGTCGTCTAATGGAGCGCAAACTCCTGTTTCAAAGCACCCAGTCTCGGGTTCAGGCACTGAGTTGAGGCCTCTACCGATAACCTGCATCGGGCAAGCTCAGGAGTTTATCATCAAGTTGCCCAGGCCGTCCTGGCCTTCCAGGATGCATCGGACTTTGAATTGGACGGCGATGTCTTCACCTGGCCAGGGACATCTGGAGGAGAACCGGGGGCTTCAAAGCAATGAGCTCATCCCTGCACCAGATCTATTCAACATGAAAAGGATATTCAACATGAAAAGGATATTCCTGCAAGCGCACCGAGATCAAGGGAGGTAGCATGTCGGAGCCCCGAGAAGATGGGAAGCAAGCTGCATGCACCTTCATACTCACACTTCTACCCGCGGCTCAATTCTTTCGCCACTCTTGCTCAAAGCGGGGGGTTGTTTGTCCACCCCCTGCATCCTATGCACATCCAGGTGTCAGCGTCTGATTCGCGCACAAGCTGCTGAAACCGACGATGGGCTGATCTATGTCGCCCGAGCCTCAAAGCAGGGCCGGCTTAAGACTGTGTATGTGTTGTGTATACCATAAATACATAAGCACCTATATATGTATGTATGGTCTGTATACAATGTGTATATGTATATGTATATGTTTATGTGTATGCGTACGTGTATGTGTGTATGTGTGCATATGTGTATGTGTGCATGTGTGTACGTGCGTATGTATGTAATGGTGTATGTATGTATGTATGTATGTATGTATGTATCTATCTATCTATCTATCTATTTATCTATCTATCTATCTATCTATCTGTCTATCTATCTATCTATCTATCTATCTATATGCATATATATATATATATTTACATAATGTACACACATGTATGCATGTGTCTTTGTATGCGTGCATATGGAGCTGAAAAAATCGACCCGCAGCGCCACACGTTTGTGGCCAGGCATTTCCTCATAATCACAGTGTCCATGCTACCAGCGAAAGCAGGTCCATCCATGCCTGCACGATGATAACGACTTGAAAAAGGAGCATCCCTGCCCGAACCGTGATAACGTCCATCCTCTAATGCCACTTGGGAAGAAAACATCCATGCCCTAGTGTACTCATGTCCATGGTCTGAGAGCACCCGCAGCCAAGGCAGAGCTGAGCTGTGCCAAGAAAACTGCCCACCACCTCACCGGCGAGCGCTGCAGAACACTTACCAGCAAGGATGCGGTGACCTCATTCCATGGTTCCAAGCAGTGCTCGGAGTTCCGGAGAGAGTGGTTTAAAGGGCTTCTGACTTCTGAAGCCAAGGTCCGAGACTGCGCTGACGTGTCCTTCCATCCTGGTACAGGCGGCTTTCGCATTCCAGGGGAGGTCTGCAGAGATTCACCGCTTCCAGTTCGCTAGGCTTTGCCTTCGTGACGAGGGGCGGGCAAAGCGTCGTGCAGCATTTTTGAGTTTTGGCCGTTGTTGCGAGCTCTCAATGGTGTTGAGGTCCTCGGACGCTTTTCTTGAACCCCTTCTTGTTCCAATAATTGCGGCAGTTGAAAGTCTCTGCACCTCCAGTTTCACTCTTGCTGCGGCTGCTTCTGCTATTGCTGCTGCTGTTCCTCCTCCTCCGCCGCCACCACAGCAACAGCTGGTACTAGTATTCGTGGTAGTGTTGGTGCTTGCCCTCGCCAGTGCTAGTTGTGCCAGTGCCGAGCACTGGAAGATCGACTTGAAGAACTTAGATTTCCGTAGCTGCGTAGCGCATATGCCATGCTCTGCATCTCAGGTGTGGCCTGCATACTGCATACTCGACAAATTACAAAGATTCTGTATGCTCTGAGCCACACTGGTTCCCCAAAGCCCCTCGTCGGCTCAGCCCTCATCCAGCCTATCAGACCCTAACCTCACACGATTGCCAGATGTGGTGGAGTTGCCCATGTGGGACCGCGGACACTCGTTCGTGGGTGCTCCGGGGGTCGGGAGCTGCCTCCATGTGGATCAGGCCGGGCATTTCAGAGTTTCATAACAGTTCTTACAGTTTGGGATTTAAGATGCAGGGCTTCACATTGTGATGTGCTTTACGGCAATTCAGGGTTACAAAGAGTTCTGAGTGTTTGGGGCTTTAAGATGCAGGGCTTCAGGTTGCGATGTGCTTTAAGTGCTCGGTTCGTGGACGGTTGCGTCCGAAGCTATGACCATGACAAAGAAGCCAGCCCATCAAGCCTAGACATTTGGAGGACCAGGGTCAGTACTCGTGCTGCAGAGAGATGCAGCAGTGGAGCTGATCATGTCGGCTGCTATGCCCCAGGCTTGGTGGAGCAATGTCGCCAAGAACTTCACAGGAGCCGGATTACGACGAGAGACATGGTGATGTAAGCTTGCAGCTTGAGCTGAGGCTTGCACCAAATGTCGCCCGTTTGCAGCCTTGCAGCTCGAAAAAGCTCGTCGGGACATGCTGACGATTCCGTGACTGCCGGCCACAGTTTGGAGCAGGCCAAATATGAGGTCGTAGTTTGAAGTTTGGTACCACTGGTGAAGCTGCAGAGCGAGGGCTTGGATCGTATGTCATGCTCGCCTTTCCATGCGAAGGGTCACTCGCAGAAGCCATGACGATTGCCATGGAGCCGATCGGCATGCCGATGCCGCTTCAGGCGGCCATTACTGGGGGCGCGCATGTTCAGGGTGAAGGACATACATTAATCCCGTCGACCAGGGGGATCGTGCCGAAGGTTCATGAGTTTAGCCATCGTGCACCCAGTGCGATCGGCAAGCAGCTTGCAAATACTCTGCGATTTTACGGACTACGGCTTCCAGGTTTCGGCTGGCAAGGCGAGCTAGACCTATCTTCCTTGATCTTCCCTCCGAGAGCCATGCAGCGAGTCGAGCAGCGGGCCGTCGAAGTGTGGAATCAGAACGGCACCCGGTGTCTGGCCACAGCATCCCGGCCGCACGGCTGTTCGGCGCTTCTGTTGCTGTGAGAATCCTGCCGCGCAGATACCTGTCCGGAATGGCCATGTGCCCTCACTCCAAGATGTGATGCAGCAAGTCGCCCCGGGACAACCCCAGCAGAATCTCAAGTGTCTCGCCGAAATCCTCTAGCATGCAGGGAACAATATCTTGATGTGAACTCAGCGCATTGCTGAATCTCTTCAGCTCATGTGCATCTGTGCGCAGGCTTCGCTTGCGCGGTGCCATCCTTCCAAGCAACGATGCCTGGCAGAGCCAGGCACGCCAGGAGCAAGGGCCTACTATCAGGCTTGTACTACGGGAGTCCAGAGCAATGCGGAATGGAGCGCACATCGCGGACGCAAAAACTCCGGCCGCGATTCCTGGCGAGTGCTTTGCAGTCTGCGGGCCAAGAGGCGACACAATCTATCCAGACAAGGCCCGATTCCAGAAAGTCATGAAAGTTGTTGTCACAAAGATTTGTCCTGAGACTCCGGAGAGGCGACTTTCCTTGACCGTGTCAGAGCAATGATCCGCGAAGATGGCTGGCACGACTTACGCCTAGTCTTTCCAACGGAGGATGCGGAGCACGTCTATCGTGAGTTTGAAGAGCAAGGTGTTGGGATTCTTTGTGCGACAGGCTCCCTCAGGTTGAGGAAGCCGTGGCACAAAAGGGCTGCTTGGCTTGGCAGCATTGTCGGCGGTCAGTGGGTCGCACGGAATGCCTATGCCCGCCTCCTGACGTTTTTGGAGGGAAGATCTTTACTGACGGCCGCACCTCGACTCACTAAATGCGCTGCTTGTGGAGGAGCCGGAATTGCGGCAGGTGTGGCGACCTTGGCCCTCCAGTATGGCTTGGAGTCCAGGCTGAATAGCAAGCGTTAAACATGTTCTGACAGGATACTAGTTTTCTCGCTTTTGGGAGTCCTCTACCGAGAAGTGAAGTTGCAAGGAGCGAGCCCTGCCCTCTGCGTTCATGACGGAGTACGCTGTCGTAATGAAGAAGAGCGACCATGGGAAGCACGAGATTGTGAGGGTGAGGGATGGAGCCGCAACTCGCGAGCTGCTCTTGGGCTTGGAAGTGGAAGAAATGCTGGATGACCTGGTGGGTCAAAGTGAGATTAAGGAGAAGATTCGAAGTTTCGGCTTGCTTATGTACCAAGAGAGCCAGCGCAACAAGTCAAAGGCAACCAGGCCTGTGGCAAACCACATGAGCTTGGAAGGAAGTCCAGGCACGGGCAAGACCACGGTCGCGAAGATGCTGAGCCAGATTCTCTACCACTTAAGCATGGTCCAACAGAAGAAGGTGGTTATCGTTCAGAGCACCGAGCTGGTCGGCGAATATGTTGGCCACACTGCCCAGAAGACCCGAAGAGTTGTTAACTCAGCTAAGGGTGGAGTCCTCTTTGTGGACGAGGCATACCGCCTCTCGTATGGGGGCTCCCGAGACTTTGGGAAGGAGGCCATTGATGAGATCATGCGTGACATGGATGCCGGCGACCCCTTGGTGATTTTCGCCGGCTATCCGACGGAGATGCAGAATTTCAAGCAAGCCAACGAGGGCTTGCAGCGCAGGATTCGTCACACCTTCCGGCTTGCGGACTACACGGCCACGGAGCTCTCTGAAATCTTCATTCGCACTTTCCTGAGTTGCCCATGCAAACTTCGTGTCTCGATTGGTGTGGATGGTTCAATCTCAGTCGCTAGTGTTGATTTGTACGTGCAGTTGCATCGCCAGGTAAAGTCCAGGACAATGATTTCATCATGGATGATGTCACCATCGAAGATGTAGCAGCTTTGATTGAAGCGCCTCTCGGAATCATTGAACATGCTAAAGAGCACTTGTTTCTCTTTTGGCCTTACATGGTGCCGAGGTTCACGACGGAAGATTGGCGCCGCAAACACAATGGCGGAGGGATGGACGAGTTGCTAGAGGGGTGCAAGGAGGTTCAAGCAACGAGATTGTTCCAACAGGCGCATGCTCGTCAAGTAGGCCGTGATGCCCTGCTCTTGGAAGATGTTGCAGCTGCTGTGAAGCAACTGCAATAGCTGCGTGGCGTGATGCCGGAAAAAATCCGGCGTGTTGTGGCAAAATGTGGCGAACAGTCCACAGATCCAGAGAACATTTAGTATTGTACAAACCAGCAATTTGTGCACAGTGTTGCAAAGTCGTTTCTTGAATTGTTTTTCTGCACTGGCCTGAACGACAGAAAAATACAAGACCGTCTCTGCCTTTCCAGCTGATGGTCTGCAAGCAGACCACAATGCCGGAAGCTCTTTTCGGCAAGGCAACATCAACGACGGCCGGCGAAACTTCAGCGGTCTGAGAGCTGAAGTCAGTCAGGCGTTTTAGAGACGAGGGTGCATGTCTGTGCATGTGTACATACAGTTACAGACATATATACTCATCCCTTGTATATGTACATCTATATGTACATGTATGTATGTATGTA